ACATACAGACAGACCTACAGATAGACAGACACACACACAGACAAACAGACACGAAGACAGACAGAGACATACACGACAGACATACAGATAGACAGACACACACACAGACAAACAGACACGAAGACAGACACGAAGACAGACACACACACAAACAGACACACAGACAGAAAGCTAAAATTCCCTGGTCCTGACCTGGTGGAGCACCGACAGCTGCGGGTGAAGTCTGTGGTGCTGGTTGTAGTGTGTCCCCGGGGGCGTGTGGGCGGCATGGGCGGCGTGGTGGCTCCCCGGGTACATGGGCGGGGTCACTCCAGCGCCCACGAATGACGAGAAGACCGAGGGCGAGGGCGGTACCCCGGGAACGCTTCCGGATCCCCCCGACATCACCTGGGGGAGAGGGGGGGGAGGGGGTGAGAGAGAGAGAGAGAACGCGGTTAGAACGCGTGGCGGGGGGTCTTGGTGGGGGGTGGGGGGGTGGGGGAGGGAGGGAAGGAGGGTGGGGGGTGGGGGTGAGGAAGGGAAGGAGGGGGGAAAGGGATGGGGAGGAGGGGGAAGGAGGGGGGAAAGGGGATGGGGAGGTGGGTGGGGGGTGGGGGGAGGGGGAGGAGGGAAGGGGGGAAAGGGGATGGGGAGGTGGGGGGGGTGGGGAGAGGGAGGGAAGGAGGGGGGGAGGGGATGGGGAGGTGGGTGGGGTAGGGGGAGCTGGGGGAAGGGAGGGAGGGGAGGGGGGGGAAGGGGATGGGGAGGGAATCGTATGTTATTGTTCTCTGTTACATTTCTCTCTTTCCCTTTCTTCTCTTTCTCTTATTCATTCTTTTTCTCTTTCTTTCTTACTCTCTCTTTCTCTTTCTCTTTGTCTTTCTCTTTCTCTTTCTTTTTTTCTCTCTCTCAGACAGAGAAACAGACAAACATACAAATACACACACACAAGAAGCGACATGGAGAAATATCAGCTCATGAAATCAAAATAATCATAACAAAAATACACCATTAAGAGACAAGAAATATCCATAAACAAACATCATTTCTTAATAACTCATATCTCTCCTGCTGCCGCTAACGATATGCCGTTATCATATATTCATAAAATTACCATAAAGCCAAATCATTCGGCAGTTTTTAATCCGAAGACTTACACCGTTTTTAGCCTTCAGGACAGGAATTAAAATAAATAAAAAAATATCCCCCAAAGAATTCTGAAATTAGCAATCCCTGAGTTAGGATAAGGTAACTTGGTTTATAAAATTTAGTAAAATAATTTAATATTTAGTACAGAAGTAAAGTTTACGGTAAAGTGGCCTGGTCTTTGGAACAAGAATTAGGGTATCAGTGCACTGTCTACGTCCTCAGTATAGTCTAGCGTTTTGATACTAATAAGCGTAATTATGATAAGATAAAGTAATGATAATAACAATACAACAATTGTGCATACAGCAATAATAATAATAACAATAATAATAACAACAACAATAACAATAATAATAATGATAATAAAAATACATTAATATAATAATAATGATAATAAATAATAATAATAATAATAATAATAATATATAACAGTAATGACAGTATAATAATGATAATGATAACAATAACAATAACAGCAATAACAATAATATAATAATGATAATAATTATATAATAATAATAATAATAATAATAACAATAATAATAAGACGAATATAAGTAATAATACAACTAATAATCATAATAATATCAATAATAGCAATAACGATATTGATGATAATAATAACAATAATAATATCAATAACAATTACAATAATAATGATAATATTAATAATAACAATAATAACAATAATAATAACAATAATAACAATAACAATAATAACAATAACAGTAATAATAATAACAATAATGATAATTATAATAATAATAATAATAACAATGATAATAACAATAATAACAATAATGCAAAAAATACTACAAAATAGGAACATCCTTCACAGCCTCCCAACAAGACTAACTAAAACAACAAACACAACACAACCTCCTCTACTCTCGCCACACCTCCTCTTAGAACCTCCTCTCTCCTTCGCCACAATCCTCTCGCTGGCCTCACACAAGCCACAACCTCCTCTCGCCACAACTCTCGCCACACACCAACACACAACCTCCTCTCGCCACAACCTCTCGCCACAAACAACACACGCCACAACCTCCTCTCGTCGCCACAACCTCTCACAACCTCCTCTCGCCTCCTCTCGCCCAACCTCCTCTCGCCACAAACCTCTCTCGCCACAACCTCTCGCCACAACCTCCTCTCGCCACAACCTCCTCTCGCCACAACCTCCTCTCGCCACAACCTCCTCTCGCCACAACCTCCTCTCCTCTCGCCACAACTCCACAACCTCCTCTCGCCACAACACAACCTCCTCTCGCCCACAACCTCCTCTCGCCACAACCTCCTCTCGCCACAACCTCCTCTCCTCGCCCTCGCCACAACCTCCTCTCGCCACAACCTCCTCTCGCCACAACCCTCCTCTCGCCACAACTCGCCACAAACCTCCTCTCGCCACAACCTCCCTCTCGCCCACACTCCTCCTCTCGCCTCCTCCTCTCGCCACAAGCCACAACCTCCCTTCTTACAGGGCTCCAAATTCCCCTTTAAATAGCAGCACTAGCGCCCATTTGCATGTAATCTGGGCGGGGTGGGGAGAGGGGGGTGGGGGGGAGGGCAGCGTGACCGCCCACATCACCCACGTCGGTAGCACAGGAGAGGGAGCTGCCCCTCTCGTCTCTCCGCTGTCTCCTTCATCCACTCCGTTTCGTGTCCCCACTCGCTCCTCGTCAGCTCCTTCGCTCTCTATTTGTGTCTCTGGGTTTTTGGCTTTTTTTTCTCTCTCTCTCTCGCTCGTGGTTTTGGCTTTTTTTTTGTTTGTTTCTTTTGTTTGTTTCTCTTGTCTCTTGTTGTCTTTGGGCTTTTATCGCTCTGTCTCTGTTTTTTTTTTTTCTCTGTTCTCTCTTTCTTTCTTTCTCTCTGTCTCTCTCTCTCTCTATTCTCTCTCTTCTCTCTCTCTCTCTTCTCTCTCTCTCTCTCTCTCTCTCTCTCTCTCTCTCTCTCTCTCTCTCCTCTCTCTCTCTCTCTCTCTCTCTCTCTCTTCTCTCTCTCTCTCTCTCTCTCTCTCTCTCTCTCTCTCTCCTCTCTCTCTCGCCTCTTTCCTCCTTACCCATGCTCTCCCTCCCTCCTTTCCCCCTCATCCTTTCTCTCTTCTCTCTCTCTCTCTCTTCCCTCCCTCTCCTTCTCCCTCTCCCTTCCACTCTTCTCTCCCTGCCCCATCCCCCCCCTCCCCCCCCCCTCCCCCCTCCCCATATCATCACACATACCTTCATTCTTGCAAGACAGAGAAGAAGCACAGGCATCTTACTGTGACCTCGGAAAAAGACAAATCGCGATGACGTGGTGCGTGCGTGTGCGTGTGTGTGTGTGCGTGTGTGGTGTGTGTGTGTGTGTGTGTGTGTGTGTGTGGTGTGTGTGTGTGTGTGTGTGTGTGTGTGTGTGTGTGTGTGTGTGTGTGCGTACGTGCGTGCGTGTATGTCTGTCTATTGCGTGTATGTGTGTTTTGTGCGTGCGTGTATGGTCTGTGTGTATGTCTTCTATCTGTGTGTATGTGCGTGTACGTGCGTGCATTCGTGTACGTGCCCGTCCGCGTGTCTCCGTGTGCGCAGAGTCCCCAGCCGTCGGCCAGAAGTGACCCAAACTCTCCTCTTTCTCATCTGGTTCTCGCCTCAGACATTATAACACTCTCCTCCTCCTGCCCCGAACCCTTCCTGCCCTTAAAAGCACTTCCAGTCCCACATAATTGACGGCTTTTAAATCCCAAATCCCCCTCCCCCCCCCACCCTTCGGAGACACCCTAAAAGCGATCCAATACCCTAAAAAAAAAAAGGATTTCAATAAACGACAGAGGATCGGATCCCATGCTCTGTCCAATGACACCAGAGAGCGCGGGTCTGGGGGCTGAAGTAATAAAGTTTATAGCCAAGAAATCTGGAGATGATATCAACGCGAGGTTCTTTACTTGCAAGTTGGGGGAGGGGAGGGGGAGGGGGGGAGAGGGAGTAGGGGAGGGAGGAAAGGGGGAGGGGAAGGGAGGAGAGGGATGAAGGAGGGGAGGGAGAAGAGGGAGAAGGAGGGGAGAGGGGAAGCAATGAGGGTGGGAGAAGAGGGGAGAAGGAGGGGGGAGAAGATGGAGGAGGAGGGAGGAAGGAGGAGAGAGGGAGGAAGGAGGGGGAGGGAGGAGAGGGGAGGGGGTGGGAGAAGAGGGAGGAAGGAGGGGGAGGAGGAGAGGAGGGGTGGGGAGAAGAGGAGGAAGGAGGGGGAGGAGAAGAGGGAGAAGGAGGGAGAAGAAGGAGAGGAGAGGGAGAAGGAGGGAGGAAGGAGGAAGAGGGGCGGGAGAAGAGGGAGGAAGAAAGGGAGGAGAAGAGGAAGGAGGAGGGAGGGGAGGTGCGTGGGTGGGTAGGAGTTTGGGAGGGGAGGAAGGATGAGGTAAAGGTGAGTTGGGGAGGTACTGGGTATGTGTGTGTGGGGAGGAGGGTAGTAAAAAGGGTAGTGGGAGGATAGACAAGACCTAGGGGGTGGAGGCACCGGGTATGTGGGGAGGTACCGTGGGTATGTGAGGGGTGGGGTAAAGGGGTGGCGCAGCGGAGGTAGAAGGGAGGGGGTTAGGGGAGTGGGGTGGGGAGGGGGAGCAGACGACGGTCTAGATACCAGATTAACTAGAATGTTATTTCTGTTTTGTTACGTCAAGTTTCTTTTCACTTCTCGCTCACGCTTTCAAACAACTTCAAATCGTAGTGAAAAAAGTAGATGTAAAACATTAATACACAGACAAAAAAAATAAAAAAGTAAATACTCTCCCATTAATAAAAAAAGAAAAAAAACTCTTCTTCTCCATTTAAAAAAAGCGAAAAAGAAAAATATTGCAAGAGTAAAAAGGTTGCATGGTACGGCACGAATCATTATATTCTCCGACCGGGGTAGCAATGTCAGTCATGTCCGATTTCGTGCACTTGGCTCGGGCGTCGGCTCCGTGTCACTGCCTCGCATCCATTACCCTCTTAATTCCTCCCTCGAGTTACATGTTTATAATCACTTTTCGACGATTGAGATATCCTTGAGCGGGGAAGATAGATAGGATCATCTGTCAGCAATAAAAGCCAAGTATCCCGCGCATCGCAAGGGGAAAAGAAGAGAGAAGGAAGGAGGAGGAGAAAGAGAAAAAAAATGAACAGAAATTTATATCGAATCCCTAAAGAATCCGACACAAGTTGACGGCTTCGAGTCCAGCCTCTCGTCGTCTCTCTTTAACCCTTCTTTCTGGCCGAATTCCCGCCTCTCGATCCACCTCAACCCCAGAAATACCC